GCGGTGTAATGGGGGGGGTGTGTGTGGGGGGTCCCCCCTACGTCCCCCTCCCCTGGCTCGAGCCCCCGGGGCTTCGCCGCTGTCTCCAACGTGTGCGCTGCCTGTGGTGGCGGGGCGGCCATGGGCTTTAGTCTGAGCCTGGGCTGGGGCCAGGCGACCTCGTAAGCAAGAAGTTGGGTTTCAAAGTCAGCTTGGAGCAACGGAGATGTGATTTGGGCTTCAGCAATGGGAAAGATCAGCTCAGGTCTTTGTTTGTTTGTTTGTTTTTGGTTTTTTTGTGTTTTTTTTTTTTTTTTTCTTTTCCTCTTCCTCCCCCGCATTTTTTCGGGACAGGGATGAGGCGTGGGGTGACGGACAGCAGTGGGGAACGAGGGGGTTCCCAGCCTTGTCGTGCATTTAGCATCATGCTGAGGCCTGGGCAGGTTACGCTGTGATCAGCACCAGAGGAAGGGTTTTGGGGTGTGGGTCCCCAAGTCACTTGGGGGAACCTCTGGGCTGTGACACCAACATCGTCAGCCCTGAGCAACGGGGTATTTCTGCACCTCTTGCCCACTTAGTTTCTCACGATGAAGCAAAAAAAACCAAACCATACCAGTCCCATTTCATTGCCTCAGTTTTAAATATTTATTTAAAGTCCAAAAAAAAAAAAAAAAAAAAAGAGAGAGAAGAAAAGGAAAAAAGCTTTAATGAGAACGGATGGTAACTCCAGCCTCGAGAAAACACGCAAAACCGATGGCAAGAGAACGAGAGAGGCAGAAACCCGGGAGTGTGTGTGCAGGGGAAGGCAGCAAGCGGGCGATGAGTGATGGTGATTTTGGCCTGGGGGTGCCGGGGCGAGCCGGCCCCGGGCGTGGGGGTGAGGTATTTCTGAGCAGAGGCAGGGCTGCGTGGAGGGTGAGGTATTTGGGACAGATCTTGTTAACCTTTTCCGACGGTTGTTGGAAACCAACCAGCAGGCAGTAGTTAAAAAGAATTAAAAAAAAAAAAAAAAAGAATACACAAAGAGAGACTCACATATAATTTCTTTTTTTTCCTCAAAAAAATAAAATCCATAGTCCGTATGAGACATGAAAACTCCAAACAGGCACTGAAGCATTTCCGATACAGTACAGCTCCGATTACATCAATATTATTCCTTATATAGAATTAAAGATTACCATAATTATCCTCTTTTAAAAAAAAAAAAAATTCCTCCAAATTTACATATAGAGACTAAATTTCTACAAAACTTAACAAAATAAAACCCCTCCAAGCCCGGCTGGGTTCTGAAACAAGGTACCATCACGTCAGTCTTGACAGAGGGGCCAGACAGAAGGGTTGCAGAGCTGGGTTTAAATACGAGCTTAGACCAGGGAATCGCTGCACGCGCAAGCTGCCACGGACGTGTGGCCGACGCGACTACAGCAAAACTAGATACAGGACAACCGACTCAAAAATAGCTCTCTCTGAGGCTCAGTGCTTCCAGATGAGCTGTATCCCTCACTCCCCTCCCCAAAGCAGTGAAGTGCTGATTAACAACAAAAAAAAAAAATATCAAGAAAAAAAAGCAGATTTGCTTTTAAAATAGCCTGTAAGGTATTTTGGACATGGTTTGAGTTGTTGCGCACGACTGACATCCGCGGTGGTTAAAGGATCCCTTTAAAGGTGACTGTTTCTCTGATTTAGCTGTAGATCGTAACCTCCTCTCTTCCTAGAGAGATGGTCCTAAGGGCGTTTTGTTTTTTTTTTTTTTTTG